GGGGGGGGAAGGAGCAGCATGGGGAGAAATTATAGAGATCTGCATTCAGAATACTACATAGAGCTGTGCTAAACTGCACACTTTATACTTGGCACACACAAAAACAATCTAGTAGCAGCAAAGTGAGGCTGTACAACTTGGATTGCTGCAGGCCATGTAAGTAAAACCTGATAAGACTTTTTTTTATTGGGCATGCTTAAAACAGCCTTGTAATCCCTTATAGGTCTTGTCTCGTTTAAGCAAGTTCAAAGCTATTGACTTTAATTGAGTTACTTTTGCTTTACAATAATGTAAATGAGATGAGAACTTCCCTTCCTCGTGGCCCTGGTTTATATTACAGCAAAATAGCCAAGTAGACTTCATTTAGACTTTTGAAACAGAAAATCTCTGGTAAAATTCATTCTTAGTTTTAAGTTTATGTAATAACTCCAAGACACATCTTGTTACTGTATGTTTTCAAAGTAATTAAGGGAGCACTTGTAGGAAATTGGTTTATTAACCAGTGTTTGGGTATCCTTTTTGAAAAGACGCATAGTTGAAATTGTTCCCATATAAATGCTATATAATAGGAGCAGCACTTTTTAAAATTTAGACTTCGATTTAGTACATTTTAATCTGTTTTCAAATTTGGACATATTCATATCACAGAGGGTCTAAACTAAAATAGACCAAACGGGATCCCGGCCTGGGTTTTCCTGATCTGAGAAACTCTTTGGTCCCTGCCAATTCAGAAATGAATTTTAGTTGCCACAATGTGTGCACTATGGCTTGCTACAGTATCAGCAAAAATATTAGTGCCCTGTGGAATTTTGGGTTGAAAGGGCAGCTTACAACAGGCACCCTTATCATGTAACACAGCAGCTGTGTCCCTTCGTTTTAAGTTGCCAATTATTCCCCATGTAATAGCCCTAAAAAGTACTTCAGAAAATTGCCCCCGAGGTTCCCTTTCATGCTCTAGTTGAGCAGTTTGAAGCAGGCAAGCACAGCTCAGCACATCTCCAGGGTGTTCTGAAGCCGAGCCATGTTTTAATAAAGATTGACACTTTCAAACAGTGCGAGGAAGTTAATGCCCAACTCCTACTGCATTTCAATTGAAGTTGGATACCAACTTCTCCCAGTGCTCCTATGGAAATTCTAGCCTAACTAAAGGTACGGGAGAGTTCATGTAAGAGGAGGATCTTTGAGCAGTCAATGAGGAGTGAAAGGAGGTGATTTTTAAACCTTCTAAATTACTTATCCCACAATCTTCAGAAAAATTGTGTTCAGAATAACATTTCATACACAACTTAGCCAGAGGAGAGGAAGAAACTGGGCCTGTAATAGGAAGATAACTTAACTTTTAACTGTGGGAGGACTAATGCATTCCCCGTAATGAATTTGGACTGTGTAGTACCCTTTTGTTTAGTCTGAACACAGCTTAGTTTTTTGTTGGCTTCTTGATTCTTTGGCTACAGGAAAGGGAGAATAATAAAACAAATACAGGATCCTTTTGCAATTCCATTAGACTAATCCTCTTTGATTCAAGCCATGTTCCACCGCTACAGCTTTTAACTTTAGAATAGACAACCACAAAGAACAACACAAGGAGAGTAAAAAGTAGAAGCAAAGTAATAACAATTCTGAATTTTACCTCAGCTTGTTAAACTCTTACTGCTTTCCACCACTCTCCCAGGCACCTTGTTGGGCATCGTGAATGTTGCCATGGGCATTGACTGGCAGGGTCAGTCCTGTCATTTCTTTCGCTTCACTCTCATCCGTCCTTCATTCAGCAACAGCAGCAAGCAAGATAGACATCACTGCAAAATATTTTCAAGCCATAGAAACTTCCAACTTTGCCCTGTAGACATCCTGACCACAAACATGCCTTGTGTGTTAGGAGTGGAAGCTGGACTAATTTTTTTTTTTTCTACTCTTGCCTCTGCTAGCAGCTTCTTGCCCATCAGTGTTCTTTCATCCTGGTGTTAGAGCAAGAGAGGTTGTTTTGCTGGCAGTTGAGAATGTACAGGGTAGCTTTGTTCTCCCTTGGTTTTTCTGATTCCCTTATGGTCTGAATGAGTACAGAGGCAGCCCAACAAAATGAAGTTTCCATCTGAGGGCTGATTTATTTCTCTTGCAACAGCAATGGAGAGGTAATAGAGGGAAGTTCCCCTGGAATACTCCTGCAAAGTCTGTGCTTGCAGGACAATTAGGGTGCACAGATTTATTTCAGCTGAGCTGGCAGGTATGGTTGTTGTCATGGCACATCATCAAAGCTAGGTGGCTTAGCAGTGCTGTGAAGTTGCATCAATTCATGTTTCATGGATGGTGCATAAGTATCTTGCATGGGCAGGTGTCAAAGTCAAAATAGTTAGATACGGTGTTGTAATCTCAGCCTTCTTTAGTGTGTATCATGTAATTTCATGGGCCAGGGAGATATGGCTGCACTGATATGATGTGGATCCTTCCTGTGCTGGGATTCTGGATGATCATCAGAAAGGGCAGGCAACCAACTTGGGAACTGCTGTCCCGCTAAGCCAGCCAACGGGAAGTGGTAAAAACTCAGAAAGAGCTAGATCCTCCTTCTTCCTACAATCACAGCAGTTAAACTGACTCCCTTTAGCTCCATTAGTATGCTGCAGTTTTCAGCGTGAGCTCTCAGCGTGTTTGTAATGGCAAGAATTGATGTATCATCACCTCATGAGTCAATATATTTGTATTAGCCTGTGGATTTCCCTTATTTTCTTTATGGAAGTGCTGAAGAGGGCTATATTGCCTCTTTTGGTAAGTTGTAAGAGCTCGTCCTTGGTGTGCCTCTGAAAAAGAGGTGGTTTTAAGTTCTGCTTCTCAGTGTCTCTTCAGCAGGCAGAGAGAAGCTTATGTTCCTGTCTGTTGTCTTTATGGTGTTGGTTCTAAGATGCTCTGCTTATTTCCTCCATTTCTGCCTCTCCAGTTGTGGGCCTTCAGGAAACAAAAGGCAGGCCAAGGTGTGGATGAGGGGAGTCTCACAGGCAGAAGCTCAGATTTTATTCCTCTGTCTCATCAAAAGCAGAATATTGTCCCTTGCAATACAGAAATTCCCCATGGCTGTTGGAAACATGCTAGTCTTCAAATGATAGCCAGCTCATTTCCAAAAGGGAGAGAGGCCAGTGACTGTGTTTGTAAATGTCATAAAAACAAGCCACAGGATGTGTTTTTATTCTCTCCTGTCATCCTGGTCTTCACATACAGTTTCAAGGCTCTGAAAAATCCGGGCACTCCCTTAGCTTCCTGGGGAGATTGTTGCAATTTCTGCTTATCCATAGGTGGCTCCAGGGGCTTGCCTTGTATTTTGGCTCCCCAAACTAAGCCAAACTTATTCCCAACCTCTTCTTCCTCCCCCACATTGTTTATCCCACTGTACATTGACCAGATGCTGTGACTGAATGCCAGGCTGCTTCTCGGCTAAGAATTAAATGATGAAAGAGAGAGTTTCAAGTAAAACCTTGGGAAAAATGTTGTGCAGTCTATTTGCCTCTCCCTACTGTGTGTGTTTACTTGTTTTGAGGATCCAGATGTCTCTGGATAGGGGCTACCTTTCTAAATTGTATCCTCATTTGTAAAAGCTATTAGAGAAGGCTCGTGGGGACCTCTGTTCTCCACCTAAGCTCCAGTGCTTGCTTTCTGCGTGTTGTAGACTCCCCTTCACTAGTGATTTAAACTACCGTGGTGATAGTGTGGGGTTTTTATTTTTCGGCCTCTGTAGCTGTGTTTTAGAGGCAAAACTGATCATACTGGAAGGTCAAAAGAATTTTCTCCCTTCTAGTTCCCAACAAAGAAATTTCCAGTGACCATTTAAATATATATCCTACCAGTTTCTGAAACAAGGTCGGTGACAGTCTTAAAGTGCATTTTGTAAGGTACCTGGGTTCATATATCCCCCTCAGCTAGAACGCCCCAAACTCGCACCAGACCCTGACTGCCTGCGGCACTCAACTGTCCCTCTCTCACTGCTGGAGAAGGAATCAGGCAGCAGCTGGAGGTGTCTCCTGGAATAAGTCAGAGCAACCAGTGCCAGTGTAGGGTGACTGCCTACCTACCCACTAATTTCCATGCACTGAAATGCTTTATTCTTGGGAGGAAAAACGCTCAAGTCTCAGCCTCGTTTCATCATCGTTTCAGCTTTCTCTGTTGGCACAGTCATCACATGGAGAGAAGGCAGACTTAGCGTAGTGCAATTGTTAAAGAATTCTTTTTTAGAAAGAGTTTCTTCCCTGGTTCTCTGTATCACTGAGGAATAACCCCTTTCCCACTGCTGCTGCAGAGTACCAGACACCGCTTAAATGGTGTAACATACTGGTGCCTGTTCAGTGATGGCTTGACGTTGAATGGTAGCATTCTCTATTTGGGCATCTTCAGCTGTTGCTTTTCCTCCTGCCCTCTTCTCCTCTGATATTCTTTGTTGCTGTCAGCAGAAAGAAAACATGAACCAAATAATGTCAAACTTGTAATATCACAATGAGTAAGAAATGAAGCAAACTGAAGGTGCCAGTTCCGTAGTATTGTTTTTAATGGATTTGTGGTGCTTGTCTACTGTGGAATTCTTGTGTATAAATCAACCATGCGAAAAGAATTAAATATGCTGAAAATACAGCACAGGAGTTCAGATTGTATAAATAGATACAGCAAGAATGTTCCATCTTGCCAAGGACACATTCAAATAATGAGTATGTCTTGCATTAAATGAATTTGTTCCCTTTCTGAAGTCTAGATGTTGCTATCACAGAAACTACCATGACAGCTGACACTCACAGCTCTCCTGCTGGTAACTTGAATGGGAGCCCAAGGGTCAAAAGGACCATGGAGATTGCCTCTTGCCCTCTAAAAGGAATCCTTCTGGGATTAGGCAGAGTTTCAGCAACTGGTGTGAGGAAAACCAGAGCTACTGAGGGTATCAGTCTCCAGGAATCTCTTGGCACCACTTGTTAATGCTAAAGGGCGCTTTTAGAAAAAGTTCATATCTCAAAAGAGCCCAGCTAAAAGGAGGAGATTGTAAGACCTGTGTATTTTGCCTGCTTTAAATATGGCGTAATGTGTGTCTCACTCGGCGAGCAGCTCTGGCTCCTCAGGTTGTGCTTGACAGTCTTGGTGAGAGCACCCACTTGTCGGGGGCCTGTGCTTCCTCTGTTCCAGGTTCTCTGAGCCAGACCCCACCCACACACTGGAGGAGCGAGTGGTACACTGGTATTTCAGCCAGCTGGACAACAACAGCAGCAATGACATCAACAAGCGGGAGCTGAAGCCTTTCAAGCGTTATGTGAAGAAGAAAGCCAAGCCCAAGAAATGTGCCCGACGTTTCACTGACTACTGTGACCTCAACAAGGACAAGTCGATCTCGCTTCAGGAGCTGAAGGGGTGCTTGGGAGTCAGCAAGGAAGGAGGTGAGTGCCTTTCCTTCCCCATTGCATGAGAATAAAAGACTTGACACGGAGTTACAGCAAACTCAGGAATCGGTTTTCTCCCAGGTGATTCAAAAGTGCCACAGTTTTTGTGTGAGAAAATGAGGGGGATTAATATCCTGCCATGCAAATGTAGTTCGTTATTTGTGTTACTGTGTTATTTGCTCTGTCTTCTATCCCTTATCATGGGCCGTTGCACTAAGCATTATACGGAAACAGGGCAAAAAGATGAGCCTTGCCTAGGACCCTGCTTGTACTGTAGAAGTCCTTGGAAACTGTAGTTCAGATCAGGTCCCTTCTGAGTAATATGCTGCTAACAATATTCTGTTGTCTCAGCCACGTAGGTTGGATGATGTATGAGCCAGAACAGACCCAGTCCTTCTCCAGAGACCCTGTTGACTAACAGCAATAATATTTATTTTCCTTGCTAAATCCAGCATGCAGGAAAGTGGATGACGCAGAGAGCGCAACTCAGAAAGAAAGCGCGGAGCTGTACTGTTGCCCATTTTCAGAGTTAAATTGCACTTTAAGATTGGGGGAGAAATAGGGCATATGAATAACGTATTTTCCTTTCTGCTTAGCGCCTGAGAAGCCAACCCACCCTCCTTCCTTTTCTTCCTCTTTCATCTTCACCTCATCTTCTGTTGGGACCTGGACCAAATTGATATTTTTGGAAATTTTATGAATTGAAACTGTTCAACCCAAGTTCAATAATTATCAGTCATTCTTGACTGTGGGCAGACTTGCTTGGCAGGAGAAGGCAAACAGGGAGATTCCAGGGGACTAATTTCCTGTGCAGGTGTTTTGGCTGTGTGGACAACTCTTGTTATAACCATCGTGCCAGTTGGGAAGGGTGGATAACTTTCTTTCTCTGGGCTTAACCTCTCATTAGTTCTTTCCTCAGGTTTAGCCTGAGTGGGAAAGGAGTTGGTGCATTTGAGTGGGGAGTTGCCTTTTCTAGGTGCTTTGCAAAAATCTTAGTTATCATAATAAGCCTGTTCCATTACCCATCAGCTGTGAGAAGCTTTCAGCTTCCCTAGTTCAGTGGAAGTTTTTTTCTTAGTCATTGGTACCTTACTGAGGAATGACATACCAAAATAGCAACCCTGTTCCTTAATTTTATTACCTTTCCAATAAGATGAATATGCCAAATGAGTTTTATTGCTATTTGGCCTGGAATAAGACTCTCTGGAATCTGCTGCCTTGGCCAACCAACTGTTCAAAATTTAGTTTATGGAAGAGGGGGGAAAAAAAAAAAGGAGAGAAGGAAGAAAATGTGAATCTTTGAGCCTGTGTGGAGGGGAAAGAAAGCAGTGAGACATTGTGAGTGCCTGATTGCCTGATTATTTGCTGAGAACACAGCCTTGACCTTTCATGGTTTCTTCCGTTGTATAAGGACAGGATTGTGTGCAAAAAGGGGCTCTGACCTTGTTTTATCATACAGTTCTACATACCTACGAAAGGCCTGATAGGCCTTGAGGATCAAAGATATATGGGTAAGTTATGTGGAAGGAAGACTGAGGGGGACTAAAGGATGGTGAGGGCTGAAAAGCAGTAGAGGGGGCGGTGCAGGGAGCAGGTAATACCATGTAGGAAAGAACTGAGGGAGAGTACTCTGGAGGTGCAGTAAGCAAGTATGTGATGGATCTTTTTTAAGAAGTCATGAATTTGTGAGATGGTAGATGACATGTTTGCTCTCTATTCATAAGAACTTCTGAATTAAGAAATAACCAGTAGCTTGTCCCTTCTCCAACTTTCCCTTATCCTGATCATGGGTACATGCAGTCAGTCAACTAGTCCATGTATTTGCTCTCTATTTCTTTCTCCATACACCATGGCCTCCAAACATCTGCTGGGGCTGAGGTCACTGTGGGTCCAAGCCAAGAGCTAGTTGGGAACCTTTTTGATGAGGTACTTTCAGTTGTGAGCTGCCAGTCAGATGAAACCAAAACTTTTCATGGAAATATTTCTGTTTCAACAAAAGCTTTGCTGGAAAGGTTTTTCTGGTCTGGATTGGATGAGGAAGGGTTGGAGGGAGGCAAGGAAAATCATCATTTCCCCTTGATATACTTCATTACAAATGAACTTGCCTCAGATGTTCCAAATCCTGGTTGGGTATCCAGCAGCATAAGGAGTAAAATGAATCATTCCAGGTGAGTGTGCCTCCTACTAGGCAAACTGAACACTTGTAATGATTTTGAAATTAAAACTTCATGCAAATTTTGTAGGGTTTGGTATGCTGAGAAAACAAATGTTAAGGCTTCTGCATTTTTGTCAGGGTTTTGGTGGGGTGTTTTTTTTTTTTTTGTGTGGCCAGTTCTATCCAAACACGGAAATAGTGTTGCTTGAAGGAAGCACAGGGCATAGGTAGATCAGCACTGTTATATATGTTTTGGGCACTAGATAGTTAACTAAGTAAGATTTATGTGGGAGGATACAGCTGGAATATTCATAAGGACAAACCTGAATCTGAGCTCTTTCCAGCTTAGGATCAAATCTGTCCAAGATGCATAGTTCTGTCTGTCTTCCCCTCCTCAGCAGGTTCTTGATGCCTGTGGTCACCTAATACGTGGGTGCTGCCAGCCAGTGGTTCTTCAGTGAGAAAAATAGCTGTCCAGTCTGCCAGAGACCCTTCTGCTTTTCCATCCTTATGATGACCCAAAAAGTTGCTGGGAAATCTGCTAGGTCTCGTGGCCACTTTGCACAGCTCTTGCCCCTCTGCTCAAACCAGATATGTTTCTATCAGGGACAGTTCAGATAGAAATACGCCATTCCTGGATCTCAGAATGGAGTAGCCACAAAGAGCCAGCCTTTGAGGGCTTTGAGAAGCCTGCAAATGGTTTCTTAAACTGGGGCAGAGCAGGCAGAGAGGGCTTGTAGCTGGGAATATGCCAGAAACAGTCTTTGCCATCATTTGATCTAGGATTGTCTGAGGAATTGTGGAAGCAAAACAGACTGATTTACAGCCTGTTAAAAGTTAGCATTCATCAGTGCAGTCTGCGCAGCCTGAGTTAAGGGGGGAACCATCTGTGATCAAAGAACAAATGTAGCTCTCTGCATTAGTTAAAAGGCAGGGTCCTTGAGAGGAGATAGACATGCACTGTAAAGCTTTGCTGGAAAGTTACTGGACCCAAGGTGAATAGGAGTCCAGTGATCTCAGAGAGGAGGACTGTAGATCTGAGCAAGGCTTGTACTAGTTGTGCTGGCTGCAAAATGCTGGAGTTGAGTTTTACCTCTATATTCTTCCAAATTCAGAAGACAAAGTCAGCATTTTGTGCACGCCCAAAGAGGAGCTCAGGGATTAAGCAGCGAAGAAATGTCCCTCTGCCAGCTGACGGGAAGTTTCCTTCTGCCAGTTCAGATCTCGTGATTGCTTTGCCATCCAAGAGCTTGTCAGATGGTAGGTGTTGGGCGCGCTTCACAGGCCATGAGGACTTCTGGGGTGGAACCCAGCCACTGTCTGTGCTAACAGCCAGCTACCAAGAGCACAGTTCAGAAACAGGATCAAAATATCTTAATTGAAAAGGGCGGGGGGGTGTGTAATTAAACAGCATGTCACTTTCTATTGGAGCTGAGAAAATACTACAGAAAGAAGGAAAAATAATGGACAAACAGCAGATTTAATTCAGTGGCGTTTGGGACCCTTCAGTTTGGTATCTGGAGAAGTAACTGATTCTCTGTGTGCTTGGGAGGCTTCTGGGTCTGAGGATGCTCTTTATTGCTGCTGTGCAAGCAGCTGTGTGGGAGCAGGTAGCAAGGAGCAGTCACCTGGGAAAGGCCTCTAGACCGATGATGGTAGAAAGCTGACAACAGTCTGAGAGGCTATGAGAAAACTGCAACCAGGTAGTGACTGAGTTAATAAAAAGGAAATTCAGACTACCTCTAATTACAATTAGATTAGAACATAAACAAGCTCTGCTGGTTCTGTGCTTGGTTTTGTTTGCCTTGTTCAGATATCCCCCTTTGGAGCTCAGCAGAGATGCTGTAGTTTGTCACCTTTAATCTTGAGGGAAGTTACTGATGGTTAGTATGAATCAGGACACCAGTATTGTGTTGAGGACACCAGATAAGGCTTGTGGTAGTGTGTTCCTCCCCCATCAAAGGCGAGAGCTTTGTTCGGTAAGTCTGAGGAATCTTTTCTTCCTATAAAAAGCTGCTGGGGTTTCCTTGGGGCTTTTCCTTTTGAAAGACACCTGGCCTAATCCAGTGTGGCTAGAACTGTTACCCAAAACAGTGTACTTGTGAGGCTGAGCAAATACCCTGCATTGTGAAACTTGCTGAGTGATGGGATGTTACCCTGTAGTACCCAACGGCTTCCCAGATGTATGTTAGTAACCTGCTCTCATCATCTGCCACATTCCTCCTCCTCTTTCATGTCAACTTTGTGCTTGGTGAAGCATTGTTTTGGTGGGGTTTTGTCTTCTGGAGGTATATGTGGCTGGCCTGTGTTTATATCGAAGGCAGCTGCCTGAAGGCGATACTCTCTGCCTTCGGAGAGACGGGTGATGAGCTGCAGGGTAGTTTCCCAGCATGGATGTATGGGGCCAGACCCACGGAAAGCAGAGCACCCTACCAGGCTGTCGGAAAGGCGATAGGACAAGAGGAAATGGCCTCAAGTTGCGCCAGGGGAGGTTTATATTGGGCATTAGGAAAAAATTTTTCAATGAAAGGGTTATCAGGCGCTGGAACAGGATGCCCAGGGAAGTGGTGGAGTCCCCATCCCTGGAGGTATTTAGAAGACGGGTAGCTGTGGTGCTTAGGGAGATGGCTTAGTGGTGGGATGGCAGGGTTAGGTTAACGGTTGGACTCGGTGATCTTAAAGTTCTTTTCCAACCTAAATGATTCTATTATTCTAAAGGTGAGCCCTGCCCTGCCCAGAGCATCCCCCCCATTTCAGGGATGCTCCCAGCCTTTCGCATCAGCCTCCCTGGAGCCCCTGGCCTCCTCCCGCAGTCAGACAGGCCTGGGTCGCAGCGGTGCACAGTGCCATTACCCGCCCTGGCTGCAAAAGGGGGGGTGGAATCCGCTCTCGGCAGCAGAGCTCCGCTGCTCCTACGCGGGCGCAGGCGACCACCACCAGTTCCTCTGAGCCCACCCGGGCAGGTGGCTGGTATGGGGCTGGCGTTCCGGGGCCTTGAAGCAACTTTCCGTGTCTATCAGTTTCTCTTATTGACCGTCTCTAAAGCCGACAGGTTGTGCTTTGCAACCCGCCCCAGGCTCGGCCACCGCCACCTTTCTTTGCCTCTCGCTCTTCCTTCCCAGCGGTTCCGCTTCCCTCCTGCAGCCCAGCCTCCCGGCTCCTGGGCCTTCCCCGGTCTCACCCCTGCTCTCCGAGCTTCTGCCATCTTGCTCTTGCACGCAGCTAAGTTTGCTTGAGCTGTGAGTCTGCAAAGTACTTCATGTGCAAAGCAAGCCGTGCCATCGGGTCAGCTGCAGGCACAAATCAAAGCTGAGGCTCAGGCGGGGCCGGAGCGGAGGGTGGCAACAGGCTTGCTGTTTCTGGCTGGGACCAGGAGTTCCCCTTGCCAGCTAATCCCTCACCCAAAATCAGACTAAGTAGCTAGGAGGAAATGTAACACACTTTTGAGAGCTCCTGTAATATCCCTGAGCTGTCTGTACCCAGGGCATGGTAGGACCAGGTTTACTGCTGAGGTGAGCGCCCTTGCCAGGAGCTCCATCTGGTGTAGCTCCATCCCCTGACACAGTCACAGCTCTGCAGTCTGTCCCTGCCCTTCTGCCGCATATGAGTTCAGGTCTTTGGTCTGAGGCACCTGTTTGATTGTTTGGTCCAAGCTAAAGATTTAGTAACTTGGGCTATCTGTATTGCTTACTCCTTCACTGTTCCGTCCGCCCTCTGTCTACGTGACATTATTTTGCTTGCTCTTAGCAAAAACTATTTTGGGAAACTTCATGGTACTACTTGCATCTTTCCTTTCTTATTTTTCCTCCTTCCACAGTTTAGTTTAACCTTGTAATTGTTGCTGCTTGCCCTCTGGATTTCACCATGTTCAGATACTACAACCCCAGGTATTCAACAGCTCTCATCTTGAGCACATTACTCTGACTTGCATGTGAATCTTAAGGAGTGCTGGCAGGACTCGCTGTGTGCGCACTCAGAGGAGCTTCTTTGAGCCTGCCCTCCGGCAGCAGACAGTGGGGATGCTCCTTTGTCATGCCATGGCACTTACTGCCTTTAATATGGTTCTTGGATTTTACAGGTAGCCTGAGCAGTTTACCCAATGGAAAAAGACAAGGCCTTAACCCTTTCAGTGAGTATCTTGTAAAAATGTTTCCTTTTTTCTGTGATAACCCTGTGTCCCAAAATTCATTCTCCTCTGCTCTCCTATGTTCACAAATATCAATATAGAAACAGCTGGAAACCAAAGTTGTTCATAAGAGGTGTGAATATAACATGCAGCTCAGCTGCTTCATTTCAAAGTCCAGCACTGTGTCTTCAGCTGGGGCAGACAGTACATCGCTAAGGAATTAGCAGCTATGGGATGAGCGCGCTCCTACCCTGTTCTCCCTGCTTCTAGCAAGCAATGCTTTAGGTCATCTGTTGTGTTTACATTACATTGCTCCATGGACAAGTTCCCATGAAGAGTCCTCTCTGTCCCGGGGAAGGCCTGCTCTCCTCTGTATTTTGTGGCAGCAAATTGCACCCTTTCGTCAGGCATGAAGAACAACTTTTGCTTTTAGACCTGCTGCCTCATGGTTTCATTGGGTGCTTCTCATTACAGATTGTGAGAAACAGTGAGCGGTTCTCCCCTGCCTATCTTTCCCCTGCCACTTGTTGTTCTATAGCCTTCCAACATATGTCTGGTTAGACTTATTTCCATGTTGAAAAGACCTAGGCTATGTATTTGCTTAATGACAGAAGCCTTCCCATACCTCTTTGCTGTCCTCCTTACCTTTCTGGGTACCTTCTCTGGCTGAACAGAGAACTGAAGATAAAGATCAGCTAAGCCTTATACATGGACGTAGTGATGTTTCCTGGTGTGTCCTCAGTTCTGAGCATGCATTTTATTTTTCTTTGCTGCTAAAAGCTGCGCAGAGGCATTCAAAAAAGTTGTGTACTGTGGCTTCAACCTCTTTCCTCATCACTCGGAGCGCTTAGTGTAGGACAGGTCATCCCCGCTCCTGCACTGCGTTGCATGTATAGACATCGAAGTCAATCCAGTGCTTTCATGAGCTGGTCATTGAGCACTGTGAATGCCTTTTGCAGAGCCGTGCAGTTGATTTCAAATATGATGATCTGGAATAATTTTGCATTTGACAAGATTACCACCCCCATGGCAGGGCATGTTGATAAGCACTGATCCCAGTGAGGCCTGTCTGGTAATCTTTCTCCTTTCTGAAAACCAAATTGATACTTCTGCCTTCTCTTCACCATGTTTTCACCTGTAATTAATCCACAGAGCTCTCACTCTGATCCCGTAAGAGCCTTGATTCTTTCAGAACCTTTGATGGGGGGCTTAACAAAAGCTTTCTGAAGAAACGAGCGTAGGGGTGCACGCACCCATCTGGCTCACTAAGCAGCACCCTTGCGTCATCCACTGGAACACTGATAGCCCCGCAGGGTCCTGGGACCCCCAGCTCCAAGTACACTGCATCCCTGCTGCAGAATCAGTAGCTTGGTAGGCTTGAGATCGCCTGGTGCAGGCAGGTCTCTAAGAGCCATTGAGCAGGGAGACTGCTGCACTGTGCTGTGGCAGAGGTGGGGAGAGGTGGCTTGCCCTCGCCCCCACTCACGGGGAAGATAGTCGGGTGGCACAGGCTTCTGCGTCAGCCTGAGCAGAGGGGAGAGATGTCGGACCAGTTGTTTGCCCGGACTGTGTGCCCGTTTCCAAGGAGGGGGAGGGAGAGGAAAGTAGTGGTTTGTGTTTAAAAATACGTCAGTCCCTAGGGCTCAGTGTGACTCATTCAATGCTTTTTTCAGCAAGGCTGTCTCATTAGCCCCTGATTGTTTTCAGCCTCACAGCTTACTCTGGGATCTCAGCCTTCTGGGGCTGTGGCTGCAGCAGAGGCTGTACTGTATCTTTATCAGTCAGGTGCCCTTTTGGTTTTAATTTGCCTTTTTTTCCTCACCTTCTCTGCTTCTGTTTTGTTTTGTTTTTTGTTTTTTCCTCCTTTCCCACCCCACCCTTTTTTCAGTAGGTCGCCTGGTGTAGCCGCAGAAGACAAGAAGGGGAAGGCAGAAGCTGACCCAAAGGGAAGAAAGATCCAGCAACAGGCGGACAGACACCTTGCTGCTTGTGAGCAAGCATGCAGCATCAGCAACATCCAACGTAGCAGAAGTGGCACCCAGAACATTTGCACTTTTTAATAATTGGTTTGGGTTTGGGTTTATTTTTAATTGCTTTTTCAATGCCATTATCTAATACTTTGGAGAGTGGGGGGGAAGCAGGATCATGACTTTTTAAAATTGGAACAGCTACTGATGACGTAAAATTGAGTTCCCTGGGACTCAAAGAAAGAGAATTTTATATACTGTATATAAATATATATGTAAATTGTACAGTTGTCTTGTACAGGGGTTGGAGTCACTGTTCCGTTCCTCCCTTTGCTTTTGAAGGCTGTTAGGGTTAGAGGGACACTTTGCATTTAAGGGATTACAGTAATGCATTCATTTCTGCCACCAAACCATAGTTCAGTTGCAAACCTTAACACCCCCATCCAAAAAGGAGCAAGTATATCAGCATGACCTGTGCTTGCAGAAGTGCACACAGTGCCCCGGATACCAAACGCCTCTTGGGAGCAGCTGAACCCCTTCTTTTCTTACTGTAAAGCCCTGTGCAACTCACAGGCACTTGGGCTGTTGAGAGAGCACAGATTTCACCTAAGTATTGGTGCACGGCAAAGCTATTTAAAGTAGGGATGGAAAAGGGTTGTATTAAGGACATGCAAACGTAATTTCTGCACCTGATGCACGTTGGGCAGAAATGAATTGCAAATGCGTCACTGTTCAGGCTCAGAAGACGCGCTTAGCAAAGACGTGCCATGCCTCGGGAATCTAACGCTGTAGGAGGGATGTGGGAGCCATAGGCCTAGTAGAGTCAGCGAAGTCTTGCATCTTCCTCTCTGACAAAATGTTTGTCTATATGTTGTACAACAATAAAAATATTGAGAAGCCTGCTAAAAGCAGCATCAGCCTGCCTGTTGCTTTGCTGAAGAGCAAAGAACATATTTGTCAGTGCAGAAAGACACAATCACGCTGCTGGTCCCCGAGAGTCTGGTTTACTCATGTGTCAACACTGCAGCTTGGGCCACGCTCACGGGTGAAGGTCTGTCTGCCATGACTGTTCTTGTCTTTGCTGGTTGTGAGTCTCAACCTCCTCTCCTGCACAGGGCTGTGCCTGCCTAGCTTAGCATCCGCTTCGCCTCCTTCACTGTTACCAGTACCTCCTGTGCTATCGCACTCCAGTGTCACATTATAATAACAGTGAAGACTTGGATTGAGAGGCCTGGTCTCTTGGAGGCTGTTTCAGCTACCAGCAATTTTTCCCGAGTTGTTTTTTACTTAATCACAGGTATAATTGTAAAGTCAGCAGTAGGGCAGGAACACCCGTGTCAGCAGTCCAAAGTTTGGGCAGAGTGTGGTGGGACACGCACTGTTTGCTTTGTGCATTTCCAACCACTGGCAGCACTTGCCTGTCCGTAGGAAATGTTCTGAGCAGCCTCCCACTTCAGACCTGGGGATCTTTGTGCTACTCATCTATGGACCAAGAACCTGTAGTCAGAGGTGGTGACGTGCCATGCTAGTATGAGATCACAGCAGCAATTGCTTGTAACAGCATTGTGTTACTGTAGAGACTGGGCTTGTCCCTTGAGGCTTTGCTGCTTTGGTAAAAGCTGTTGCAACACAGCATCTTCGCTCCATGGCATGTCATGGCATGTCATCATGATGATAGCATGAGATAAACACGTCACAGCAGGAGTGTCCTGATGCAGTGTTAGTGCCTTGTTGACAAAATGGAAAGTTTTTTTAAAAAAAACAAAGCAAACAAAGAACCCCAAACAAAAAATCTTTCTATAAACAACTGTTCAAGAGTAGTAATAACGCTTCTTCTGGGAAGTAGATTGGGAGCGAAGTAAAGCATTTGGCATGGTTGAAAACACCTCTGGTAACCTCTGAAGTATACATCATACCACCGTAATATAGACGTCGTCTCTAGCAAGAGCAGATCCTGCTGCTGGGTCTTCATGGTTTCTCACATACAATGTATGTGCTTTTTTGGCCTGCAAGCTCTCATCTTCTTGATTGTATCTTCTCTTTTTAAATGCCCAGGGCACATCTTTTGCGTGTTGAAATTATTTGGTTTACTGTATAGTTAGAAATGTCGCTGTCACTCATTAATCCTATTGTAGGAGTAAAGAATGAATCCAGCTGTATAAAAATACCCCTCTCCCTTTTTAATATGCTTGTTTTAGGAATTAAAAGCTCTGGCTGCTGGGTTGGTGTTTGGTTTTTTGTTTGTTTTTTGTTTTGTTTTAATGTATAGTTGCATCCAGCAAAAGCAGCCACTTGGATACCTATAGGAATTCTGTCAGCCAGCCACTGGGACCAAGCAATGCCCCGCATGATTGCAGGGTGAGTGCAGAGCTACTAAAAGTCACTGCATCTTTTCTTCTGGAAATGTCAGTAAGCCAGCCAGCCAACTCTCCTGCCTGTCACATAAAGCCTTCTGCAGACCTCCTTTTTCTCATCCTTGTGTCCTTCCCTTCCTAAAGGGCTGCATTCATGTGTAGTTTGCAATTAAAATTGGGTCAGCTCCTCAAGGAAGCCAAGCAAGGGGTGGCTGCTTTGGTATTGGTGGGTATTCATGTTGTTAGGCTAGGGCTAACTGTATGGATGGATTGGGGTCCAAGCATTATATTGCTTTCTCCTTTACTTTCATGGGATGAGTCCCGGTCCCGGCGTCCTGACTTGCTGGGTTTGCACAGGCCTCTGAGCAGCTTCTGGCAACATTTGTACGTGGGCATGCAAGACCCAATCAGCATGGCTGTGTAACATCTGGATAGAGGTTGCGTTACTTGTTCTGGGTTTGTGTGTTGGAAGATCACGCAGACAGTACTGGTCCTGATTCATATAACCCATCCTATGAGTTGTCCAAACAGACTGTACTCATCAGAAGGGAGCAGTGCCTCAGTTCCCCTCTTCCCCTGTTGCTTTTACTGCCAGGTAACTGGTCAGTCCACCTGGCTGCCAGGCCAAACAGGTCCTTACCTGGTGGTGGTAAGTGTTCTTCTGCTCTGCCTTGCATCAGTAGCATCCTACTGAAGCTGGGGCACGGGGAGTGTCGGAGTTGTGCCTGGAAGCAGACCCTGGGCAGGTCTCTCCTCATCCTTCAAGTCTTCCTGGGCCTCTCCAGCTCTACTTTGGATGACAGCTGAAAACAGCTGGGACAGAGAAGAGAACCAGGACTCCACAGTGCAAGTCATCTGCTTTTCCTGCCTGAAGCAAAAAATCTTTCCTTTTTTGCTGATCCTCCAAGGGTGCAGTGTGTTGGAGGGAACTGCATTATGGTGGGATTCATCCGTGTGAAGGCACCGCTTTCCATGGCCTGAGTTTATATCGAACTTACCCTGCCCCAGCACATTTCTGCCTATGGGATTATTTGTTAGACTGAAAGGCATCTGTTTGATTTTGGTTTTATAATAAAATAGATAACTTTTGCTCCTGTGTCTTGCTGAATCTTTATTTCCAAAACTTCTCTCTTTCACATACTGTTCTGTTACCTGTGCAGTGCCATAGGA